GCCATCGCGATGTCCCAATCCTCTAGTTCTTACATGAGAGCTCTGCTTACATGGCAGGAAATCCTGAAGATCTCATGAAGAGACTCGATTAGCAGCAAGCCATGCTCAGATCTTAGCAAGAGACCATCATTGAACTCTGAGCCTTGATGGCCCAGATCGTTGCAGATAGGGCCAAATCTCAAAAAGCAGACTCGCCGCCTCAGCATGAATCCTCCCGAAGAGTAAGGGCATTGACGGGTCATAAATTATATCCTAAAAGTTGCAAGTGCACAACCAATCAAGTTATAGTATAAAGAGTTATTGATCCCATGAGGAAGGTGTTTGTAAGAAATAAATAGAATCGGTTCTTATGTTGTGTGCGTAACAATTAGGAGTGATGATTGAGTATGATTGTGGTGAGGTATGATGAGTGTTATGAATATATGCAAATAAAATGAAATTGAGAGGAGAGAAAGGAATTAAAGGAAATAAGAGGAAAGAAAATGAAAAATCAAGAATAAAAAGAAAATTCAAGAAAGTAAATTTGGAGGATTCAATTAAAGATATGAGAAATCTAGAATTGAATCCACTAGCTAATTTTAATTATAAATTATGAACCATTCTCTTTTATCACATTTTACCTTAGATTTATTAAGAATAGACTATCAAACCATTTAAGGAAAGTATAACCTATCAAATTATCATCTAAGTAAAAATAATATTCATGAAAAGAACAATAACTAGATAGTAATTCTAGAATTCATAACCTATCAAACCACTCAAGATAAGCATAGATTATCAAATTCTTCTTCTACCAATTAGTTCTCTAGTTGATTATCCTATACAAGATTATTTTAAGTGCAAGAGAAGAATTCACATAATATAAAGGAAATTAGGCTAGTTTCATATAATTTTAAGATTCCTACAAGAATTAATTCCACATCTTAATAATCAAAAACAAGAAATGAAATAAAAAGAATAAGAACTAATTACAAAGATGAAAAATGAGAATAAAGAAAATTACACTATGAACAAGAAATAATCTAACTAAAATGCAAAAGAAAATAAATGAAAATAAATCTACTCTACAAATTAAAAAAGGAAAATAAAATAGGAACAAGAAAAATAAATCTACTCTACAAGACATAAATGTAAATTTAAACTAATAAGCAATAAAAATTACTATAAATAAATAAAAGAGAAAATAAAAGCAAACCTTCACATTGATCTTCATCTTCATCATCATCATCAAATAAAGAGAAGAAAATATGAAGAGGTGAAATAAATTTTTTTATTAATTATAATAAAAGTTACAAATTTAGAAGGTCTTCTCAATTAAGAATAACCCTCCTATCCAAATGGGTTTACAAAAAATTTCACACCGTTAACCCCTCACTCTCTACCCCTATTTATAGTAAACATCAATGAATGTAAGCCATTGGATTGAATTATTAACCAAAACCCTTGATTTTCAGCCTTTGATTCATAACAGAATCGTCAGCATCGATGCTGGCATCGGTGCCCAGATTTCTCTAATTGCTGACCCTAGTTTTCTTCTTTCATTATCCTTGGGCTTGGGCTTTATGGATTTTGCTTGTGTTCTTCAATTAATTCTTTGGGCTTTGTTGAGCGATATGGTTGTTGGGCTTTATATTTGATTAACTTGCAATTAAAGATAAAAATAATTATTAGTGATATATTTATTCATATAAAATAGATAATAAGGATATAAAATTGTAATTAAAATATAATTATTAAATACCCCCACACCTAAACTTTTGCTAGTCCTCTAGTAAAGAAGGAAATTAAAAATAAAATTCTAACTCGCTTTTACAGGAATCATGGTTTTATTTAGCGCATACAACAAGTCTTTAAAGCTTTAGGTTACCCTAGAGGACGAGTTGTAGTTTTGTGAGGGTTTGTAGTGATATACCCATAAAATTCAGTCAACTTGCCAATTCAATAGAGTTAGTAAATAACTATTTTTACTTAATATATTTAAACATTCTAATTGAAGCTAGTTATTACTCAAGAAAATGATTTTATATATAACTCTAAGGTAAATCTCCTAGAAAATCTTTTCATTATAGCAATACAAAACCAAGTATAATCTTAAAAATTTAATTTGAATATTTTGAAAAGAACATGCTAGCTAACTCTTTGTTTTGAATAATTTTCAAGTCTTGATCAAAAATCATATATACAAATACATATATATAAACATTTGTTAGTATATTATATATTTTTTCACTATTTATTCCTTGGTGATTTTTTTCTACTTTATCGGGCTTTCTAAGTGACCATTTAACGAGTTTTAGGCCAATAAATACCAACCAAATTGTGCATAGGTCATTAAGTATGGAAATTATCCTTGGACTTAATTACTCGGTCAACTTAGGCTTAATAATATAGAATCACCTTGAATTCAAACGTTTCTTGTACCCATTTTTCGTACTCTTCTTTTTGTAAAGTTAGTTAGTTAGTTTTTTTTCTCTAATATATATATATGTGTATATGAAAAAATATAAATCAAGGCTACTTGAAAATGTTTTTCAACTCTAATTTAAGCATGCAAAAATTCTATTATTTTAATTAAATATCTAAGTTAAGGCTTAAGTTAAGTATACTACTTTGAAAAGTTATTTCTTACAAAATTTATTTAGAGTTATCATAAAAGGTGAACTTGAGTAAATTACTAACTATGGATTAGAAAATTTAAAATTTATCAAATAAATAAATATTACTTAACTCTATTAATTTAACAAGTGATAATATTTTTATAATAATTTTTTTGGAATGAAAGAAGAAAAAATTGAAAAGATAAAATAAAGAGAAAAAATAACTACTTCCCACCCCCATACCTAAATTTTGCATTGTCCTTAATGCAAATTATCTTATGCACAAAGTAAAGCCGATGAGAATTAAAGAACTTACAATTTGTTCAGTCGACCTAGAACAATGATGCTAAAAAAAATCTACAATTACCTTTAGTATGAGGATGATGAAATCAAGTAATAAACAAAAGGAAAAAAATTATTGTTCTCTTTTTTTTTCCTTTTTTCATATATATCTATTTTTTCTTTTTCTTTTTTTTTTCTTTTTCTTCTTTTTTTTACAAATAATGTGGTTCATGGAGAACCAACACCTCCTCCTCTCTGAACGTAGAAAATTCTAAAAATAGTTTAAGACGTTGACAATTTATTTTAAAAACATCACTATTTTTAGGATTTTTCATCTCGACAGCCCCATATGAGAAAACTTGTTTTACAATAAATGGACCTGTCCCTCTTGATCTCAATTTTACAGGAAAAAATATAATTTTGACTTATAGAGTAAAACTTTTTGTCCTGGAGTGAAATTTTTTCATAATATTAAATTGTCATGAAAAATCTTGGTTTTCTTTTTGTAAATTTTGAGTTAATATATGCATCATTTCAAATTTCTTCCAACTCATTTATTTGGAGCACCCTGATTTTACCTGCCGAGTCTAAATCAAAATTCAACTGTTTTATAGCCCACATTGCTCGGTGTTCCAACTCCACTGATAGGTGACAAGCTTTTCCAAACACAAGCCTGTATGGTGACATCCCCAAATTAGCCTTGAATGTTGTTCTATATGCCCACAGAGCATCACATAATTTTACAGACTAATCTTTTCTATTATGATTAACTATTTTTTTAAGATTTATTTGATCTGCCTATTTGTGATCTCTACTTGACCACTGGTTTGAGGGTGTTAAGGAGTTGACAATTTGTGTATGATTGAATATTTCCTCATCAAAGTCTCAAAAGAAAAATTATAGAAATGTGTATTGTTATCGCTAATGATCGTTCGGGGCACTCCAAACCATGCAAAAATATTTATCTTCAAGAACTTGACAACAACCTTGTTGTCATTAGTTTTGCAAGCTACCGTCTCAATCCATTTTAACATGTATTCGACGGCTACTAGAATGTAAACATTTCCAAAAGAATTTGAAAATGGTCCTATGAAATCGATACCCCACAAATCAAAATATTCAATAGATAAGATGGACTGTAAGGGCATCATATTTCTTCTAGTGACTTTCCCTAAAAGCTAACAGTGGTTACAAGTTTTGTAAAACTCAAATGAATCCTTGAAAAGAGTGGGCCAGTATAGCCCACATCGAAGAATTTTTTTCAGCAGATTTTCTTGGGCCAAAGTGACCCCCACATGCTTGCTCATGACAAATGGATAGAACACTCATAGTTTCTTCAGTGAGAACACACCTCCTAAAGATCTGATCAGGATAGTATTTAAACAAATATGGATCATCTCAGTAAAAGTATTTTACTTGGGAGAGAAAATGGGATCTATCCTGTTTAGAATAATGAGAAGGGATCTGTTTTATGACTAAGTAATTCACAATGTCGGCAAACAATGGAATAGATTGGATTTGTGGGAGTTTTTCATCTGGAAAATGTTCGTTGATTAGGACGGTTGATGTTGGTGTATTTGGGAGTCTAGAGAGATGATCTGCTATAGGGTTTTCTGCTCCTCTTCTGTTAAGAATTTGAATGTCAAACTCTTAAAGTACGAGAATCCATCTAATGAGCTATGCTTTAGCATACTTTTTGGTCAAAAGATACTTTAGTACGGCATAATCTGTGAAAACTTTGGTTAAAGACCTGATAAGGTATGACCTGAATTTTTCTAAGGCAAAGACTATAGCTAAAAACTCTTTTTCCTTGACAGAGTAATTTACTGGGAATCATTCAGAGTCTTACTAGCGTAGTAGATCACATGCACTTTACCATCAATCTATTGTCCTAAGAAAACACCAATTGCAGAATCGGATGCATCATACATCAGTTCCAAGGGTAAGGTCCAGTCCGGTGCATGAACGATAGGAGTTGTGGTTAGCTCCTTTTTTAGATATTCAAAACCTTTGAGGCATTTGGGAGAGAAATTAAATGATGTATCCTTGGCTAAGAGATTGGTCAGTGGTCTAGCAATTTTGTTAAAATCTTTGATAAAACATCAATAGAAAAAAGCATACATGGTGGCACAGGGTCCGAAGGAAGTCCCCGAGATGATAGAGCCCAACAACAGTCTCAACCTTACGGTAGGGAAGCAGGCCGCAAAGAAAGACGAGGACCCCAGGAAGCCACTCCTTGTTGTTAAGTTACAGGTGAAGACCAGCTTGGTTGATGCCATAGTTGATTCAGGGAGTCAGAAGAATTTGATATCCGAGACCCTGGTTCAGAAGTAGGGTTTGAATATGGTCAAGCATCCAAAACCCTATCCTTTAGGGTGGATTCAAAAGGAGACAGGACTGAGTGTGACCAATCAATGCACTTTCAGATTTGCACTCCACGAGTCGTATATTGACGAGGACACATGTGATTATTAGATGTTTGCCAAATTATACTGGGCAATTCTTATTTATGGGATAGGTACGCGGTCTATGATAGGCTGGCACAGAAGAAAACATTCACCAAGGATGGCGAGCAGTTCATAATTTGTTCGGCATCTCTCCCGTAGGAGATGAGTTTGGTGATGGTGACTCAGGCGAAGAGGCTAGTGAATGCGAGTAAGAAGTTTGTTTTATTATTTTATTAGACCTTATGAGGAGCAGCTAAGTAGGGTATGCTTGACTACCTTTAGCAAGCTTCAGGAGGGAGATCTTGACAGGTTTAAGGCCTCTACCGCACATCCGTACAAGAGTCTGAGGAGATCAAGAAGTAAGTTCAGGAACTTCTGGAGACGAGAGTGATAGTGCCTAGTCGTTCGCCTTGCGGGTCACCAGTTTTGTTGGTGCCTAAGAAGGATGGAGGCTGGCGCGTGTGCATGGATTACCAGGCGCTCAAGAAGATAATGGTCAAAAATCATTACCCACTACCACGGATAGACAATTTTATGGACCAGTTAGAGGGGGCGAGGTTTTTCATGAAGTTAGATCTTAAGTCTGGCTACAACCAGGTGAAGATTCGAGAGGATGACACTTGGAAGACTGCGTTCAAGACTAAACAGGGTCTACTCGAGTGGTTGGTGATGTCGTTCGGGTTATGCAATGCTCCGGCGACCTTTATGAGGCTCATAAATGATTTGTTATAACCTTTCATAGAGGATTTTGTGATAGTTTGCCTCGATGACATCTTGGTGTACAGCAGAACCTGGGAGGGGCATCTTGCTCATATAGAGAAGGTTTTTGAAGTGCTACAGAATGGACAGCTAAAGCTCAACAGGAAGAAGTACAAATTCGGGAAGGACGAGTAAGGTGGAGGTGATCACGAAGCGGCCGACGCTTAGGACAATAACGGAGGTGAGAAGCTTTATGAGGGCTTGCCAATATTTGTGCAAGTGCATTCGATATTTTTCTGCATATGCGGCTCCTTTACATGGCCTTACGAAGGCAAAGATTTAGTATCTGTGGTGGCGGACGCATGAGGAGGCTTTTCAGTTACTGAAGAGGAAGATCTCGGAGGCACCGGTGTTAGCGTTGCCTAATTTATAAAGGATCTTCGAGGTAGAGACCGACGCTTCTAGTTATGCTATGGGCTCTATGTTGATAAAGGATGGGAAGCCGGTGAAATACGATTCTGAGATGTTTATGGGTGCTATTCTGAACTATCCTACCTACGATAAGGAGTTTTATGCACTCTATCAGGTGATCAAGCATTAGAGGGTGTATTTGTGGGGTAAGGAGGTGGTTGTGCACTCAAATCATAAGCCATTGGAGCTTCTACATGCCTAGATGAAGCTGCAGTAGGCACGACATATGAAGTGGATGTCTTATTTGATGGCGTTCAACATCGCCATTAGGTACAAAAAAGGGGCAAAGAATAAGTTGGCTGATATATTATCTCAACTGCCAGTTAGAGCTTTATTGGTGGCGATACGTATTCAGCCCTTAGTTCCTTTGGAGTATGTATAGATGTACACATCCAACAGAGAGTTCAGCAGTGTGTTCGAGCAGGCGAAGGCTGATCGAAGAGGGGAGTATGAGATTGGAGCCGATGGTTTGTTATATCATGGGACATCGCTTTGCATTACGGAGGATGGCGATAGGTTGCAGTGGATTAGAGAAGCACATACATCACGTGTACAAGGTCATTTTGGGATTCAAAAGATACTTCTCAATCTACGATGCCATGTATTTTGGTCGAAGATGTTAGAGGATGTTACCAAGTATGTTGGAGGGTATAAGCTATGTTGCATATCAAAGCCTTCTAACAGGAAGCTGGGATTGTATCTACCATTGTTGGTACCTTCAAGACCGTAGGAGAGTATTTCTATGGATTTCTTATGAGGTTTACCAATGACCAAGAACGGGCATGATTACTTATTCATTGTGGTAGACCAGTTTAGTAAGATGGTGATCTTGATTCATTGTAAGAAGATTGTGATGGGAGCGGGTGCAACGCAATTGTTCTTTGAACATGTGTGGAACCACTTTGGATTGCCGTATTCGATTATTTCGGATTGAGATAACATATTTCTCAGGCACATTTGAGATTCTTTATGGAGTTTGATGGACACAAGATTGAAGAAGTGCACGGCCTTTCATCCACAAACAGGTGGGAAAATAGAAGTAGTCAACTAGATCATGGTTCACATGTTGCGGAGGTATAATTCCAGGCATCCTAAGACTTGAGATGAGAGCTTACCATACCTTTAGTTTGCTTTCAACAGCGCTATTCACGGATCTTTAGGAAAGTCAACCTTTGAGACGTGTTATGGGTTTTTACCTCCAAGTCCGCTCGACTTAGTATTCTTTAGTGAAGCTATGACCGACGGCAAAGAAGGGAACGAAGGACAGCGGGATCAATGATTTCTAGAGAAGATTGCACAGATTTATGCTACGGTTGAAGCTCAGTTGAAGAAGTCACAAGCAAAGTACAAAGCAAAACATGATCAACATCAAGTTCCTTGTAATTTTGGAAAAGGTGATATGGTGTGGCTGAAGTTAAGTAAGGAGCAGCTAAAAGGAGAAGGGAAGAAGTTGAAGCCTATACGATATGGACCATTTCGGATTCTTGATCAGATTGGTGACAACGCCTTCAAGCTAGATTTGTCACCTTACTTAGGCGTGTATTCGGTGATTAATGTCGAGTACTTGAAGTTGTTTGAGCCTCTATTGTTGGATGATAAGGGTGATGACAAAGTAATCTTATCTCACGTTAAAGACTTGTGGTTTGATAGAAAAGAGTCGTTGAAAGAGAATTGCATTTTGGAGTGAAAGGTGACAACGACGAGATGCAGGACGAAGGAGTCGTTTCTGATCAGACGTCAAGGTCAGGTTCCTAACAAGGGCCAGGTGGTTTAATAAGGAAGGAGGGGCTCACGAGTTCCCTCAGCTAATGTTCTAACTTGAACGAGACTTCAAGTTAGAACCAACTTGATATGGGTGTATCTTCTTCTCTGCTTTAGGAGCTTAGCGATCCTCAAGAGAGCTTGAGGATAGACGATTCTCATGGTAACTTAAGAATAGAGGCGTGGGTGGAGCCGTTGGTGGTGGCAAAAGAGGTCAAAGTCAGGAAAACGGCAAGGAAAATAGGAAGCAGATAACTCTCTTGCCGGTCGATCGGGATTCCACAATTGGTCAACGGTGAAAGCCAGACCAGTCGACTGATCGCTCATCATCGGTCGACCGAAAACGGATACGCCTACAGGGTTAAAAACCAACTCTCTAGCCAGTCGACTGAACCAAGCAAGCCGGTCGACCAGATCGTGTTTTCTGGGTGAATATGGATTCCTTTTGATGCAGATTCCAAGTTCTATTGGGCTTGCTTATTTACGACATTACCATCCATGTTGTTAGACATATAAATAGGGATTGTTTAGGATTTCTAAACATTAGGTTGGATTTTAAAGAGAATAGGGAGATTGTTCCTTATTCTAGAGAGATTGTGGGAGAGATTTTATAATATTTTATTCTTCATAATCTAGAGAATGTATTTTTCTTCGCCAATTGAGTTGTCTTGTGTGTTTTACTGTCTTCTTCTCAAAACCAACATTTGATAATTCTGTGATCAAAGGTGCTCGCTCGGTGACTCGTACCATATTCTCATACATTCCAAACACTTTGGTGCAGCACACCCCAGCTTCAAGCAGAGTTTATTCACTCGTACCGCGTGATCATAGTGTGAGTGGGACCCTTATGGAAGGTATGTTCCTTGTGAACCCCTTTCCAATCTGTATTCTTTTCGATTCAAGAGCTTCGTATTCTTTTATCTTCTATGATTTTATGACTAGACTTCAGCTTGTAGCACAGCCTCTAGATATTCCATTGTTAGTTTTCACCCCTCTAAGTGATGTGTTGCTTCTAGAGATCATTTGTAGTAGATTCATTATCAACTTAGACGAGTCTAAGTTCGTAGTCAATTTGATCGTCTTGCGTATGTCCAAGTTTGACGTGATTCTTGGTATAGATTGGCTACCATCCTACCATGTTAGTATCGGTTGTTTTTATTAAAATAGTAGCTCATGAACGTTTGATGGGTTTGAGTAGATAGTAGCAACTTCATAGGGTAACCTGAATACATAGTCATACGTCGAGGAGATGATGATGCGGGATCGAGATGCAGATTTGAGCAAGACCGGAGTCATCTCAGAGTATCAGGATGTCTTTTAGGATATACCTGGATTTCCTCCAGTGAGAGAGGTTGAGTTTTACATCGAGATGCAACTAAGCATAGCGCCGATATCCTGAACACCTTATCACATGGCACCTGTTAAGATGAGGGATTTACAGATTCAGTTAGATGAACTATTATCTCAAGGCTTTATTCGCCGGAGTCATTCTCTATGGGGAGCACCGATCCTCTTCATAAAGAAAAAGGATGATAGCATGCGTTTGTGTATAGATTATCGCCAGTTGAATAAGGTCACCATCCGGAACAGTTACCTATTATTAAGGATTTATGACTTATTTGACTAGTTGCAGGGAGCGTAGTGTTTTTTAAAAATTTATCTTCATTCTGGCTATCATCAGTTATGGGTTCGAAAGATGGATATTTTTCGAGACCACCTTCCTAACTTGATATGGGTCTTTCGAGTTTCTTATTATGCTATTTAGGATTACCAATGCACCCGTGTTATTTATGAATTTGATGAACCGAATTTTTCGTTCATATTTGGACCAATTTGTGATAGTGTTTATCTATGACATCCCTATTTTTCGAGATCAGAGGCCGAGCGGAAGAAACACCTTCGTCTAACATTGCAGACTTTGTGGGAGCACCAATCGTATGCTAAATATAGCAAATGCAAGTTTTAGCTTTCGAAGATTAGATTTTGGGCCACATAATTAGCAAGGAGAGCATTGCTGTTGAACCAGCCAAGTGGAGCTAGTTCTTGATTGGGAATGTTAGCCATATAGCCATTATGGATGTATAGAGTAATCAGCGCTTAATCAGGAAACTCTTGGATTCAAATCTAAAATGGGGAAATTTCCAAGAACCCAAGGTAGATTGGACCATCAGATAAGATGGGGGCCTTCGAAAGAAAGGTCGGATTGTACTACGCAAGAATCTGAAGTCAAATGATGATATATTTGATGAAGTTGGCATACTTCTTACACGTTAAGATAACTTACACGACGGAGACTTATGCGAGAATATTCATCTAGGAGGTTGTATGATTACATGGAGTTCTGGAGACAATTGTATCAGATCGTGGTTTGGTTTTCATTTCACATTTCTGAAAGTGCTTCCAGAATTCTTTCAACAGCTAGCTATCATATAGCAGCGTATTCCACCCAAAAATAGATGGACAAATAGAGAGAGTTAACCAAATGTTTGAGGACATGTTACGGTCATGAGTTATCAATTTTAAGGCAACTGGGAGGACCATATCTCATTGATTGAGTTTGCCTACAATAATAGTTATTAATTGATGATAGGCATGATACCTTATGAAGCATTGTACGGGAGGCCTTGTAGATCCCTGATTTATTCGGCAAAGTTATGGAATAGCTTATTACTTGGATTAGATTTGGTTGGATAGGATAAACTACGGAGAAGGTAGCGTTGATTTCGGAGCGTATTCTTATCACCTAAGTCGGTAAAAGAGCTATGCAGATCAGAGGCGACAACTTTTAGAGTTTTAAGTTGGAGATTATGTTTTATTAAAAGTATCACCGATAAAGGGTGTTCAACGATTTAGTAGATGGGGAAAGCTTGCCCAAGTTATGTTGGACCATTTAGGGTCGTTGAGCGTGTTGGAACTATTTCGTATCAACTAGATCGTCCCGCATCAATGTCAGGTGTACACGATGTTTCCCAGGTTTCGATGACCAAGAAGCATTTACATGACGAGGAGTGGCACAGAGTGTTTGACGCACCAGACTTAGAGATTCAGGCTGATTTGACAAACATTGAGATTCTATTTTGTATTCTCGCTAGAAAGGGTAAGGAGCTTAGAAATAAGATGATTCCTTTAGTTAAAGTGCAGTGGAACCAGAAAGGAGGTGAAGAACCTTCTTGGGAGCGCGAGAGGAAATGCGTCATGACTATCCATACCTATTTGAGTAGGTAAAATATTAACTATGATTTGTTTGTGTTCATATTATTTGTATAGCCACATTTACATTTAACGTTGGAATGGGGGCATTAACACTTAGCTCCTAATCATTCAGAACATATGGTATATACATGAGGGGTTTCTTATTTGGATTTTTCGCCCGACGTACTAGTTCCGTTAATTAGGGGTTAAGTGGAAGTATTTGCATTCTAGATTGTTAAGTATAAATATTGCTTATGATACCTATCTTGAGATTAATAATACGATATGTGTATGTAAGAGTTTCCTTGTCTAGATTATTCTCTCAATATGCTTTTCTCGTATTAGTAATCTCTAAAGATACGTTTGTGGAATTTTAAGAACAAAATTCTTTTAAGGGGGGATGAATGTAAAACCCCGTAATTTTTTTTAAAAATACTATAGTAAATAGTATTAAATGAGTTATATTATGATAAATATTATTTAATGATAAATGAATATGATAGTAATTGATTTGAGACCAATTAAGAGTATATATGCATTATACACCGATGCAATTCAAATCTGAAAAACAATCAGTTAAGAGTATATATGCATTTCACACTAATGAATCTCAAATATAGAAAAACTTAAATGATAAAAGTTGTAGGTCTCTTTAATATCTTTCCAATGCATCTTAAATTACCTCATTCTGAGGTCGGACGAAAAAATTACAGCCAAAATACCGAAGACTATTTTCCTAGTCTAACTGGGTTTCCTGTTTCGGGTCAGATTTGTTTGTTTCAGGTTTGCCTCTATATATACCTATATTTCACAAAAAATTCCTTTTTAAATCATATTTTTTAACCCTAGCAGCCACTCTCTACCCTCAAAAACCCTAGAGCATATTTTGATGAGTTTTGAGAGCTTTGTGAAGCAAATATCAAGAAGAGGGCGAGATCGTCGGCGTTTGGCAAGGGAGAACCTGTTTGCTTGCACCCTTGGATTTTTCCGTAGAGTGTTAAGGCAAGATCATCTTCCTCTAAACCTATCCCCTGTAGAAATTCATATTTTTAATATGTATAATTGGTTAATCTAATGTGTAGTACTTATTTTGATGATTTTTAAATCCTAGTTTTGATGTTAAATCTTAAAACAACAAAGATATCCGAAGAATTAATCTTTAATTGATAAAAATAATGATAATGGTCATTAGTTTTCAGATTAATTGATATTTTTTGTTTACATGGCCTAAACCCTAATTGTCGATGTATAGAACTTGAGTCTTGAACATTAAACAATATAGTGATATAAGCTTGTGGATTAAAAACTCTGGTTTGATGTGTAGATCTATGAATATAAATACTAAATAAAGGAAAGGTAATAATTTTATGTTTAGAACTGTAGTTAATTGCTAAGATGATGAACTACTTAGGTTTTAAACCCTAATTGTACAAACTTAATCTAATTAGTTATGTTTAAAGTATTTTTTTTAAACCCCAAAGATCATGTTATGATGATAAATAATTGTTTTGTCAAACCCTAGTATGTTAAACACATGAGTAAACATATTTGTACACCCATAATGATGTTCTATAAGCTCTTTTTGTTGAAATTGTCTTAACTTCACGGGACTCAAACCTGAGTCGTGGACTCTAGTCGGTCAACCGAACCCTGTGCATCGGCCAACTGATCCCACCCTAAGTTTGTGTATTTCTTTATTCAACAGAAACTTATTTTTACGCATGTTTATGCGAATTGGTCGTCGATCGACCAATGCCCTAGGGTAGTCGACTGACATCATGTATTGTTTGTGATGATTTTTCTTTCACGTTGTTCGTGAACATGAGGTTCGAGATGTATAACAATTTGCACGTACTACATAGACATACACCTATGGAGGCTTAGCACACGCGGACTTCCGAAAAAGGGATAGTTGTGTGTATTGTTTTGACCACAACGGGGAGGCAATTAGATAGAATAATATATGCGTGTGCATGGATACCGTTGATGGGCAAAGCTCAGTACTACGTAAGGTAGTGTGTCAGTATACCATTGAAGTAGGCTATTTAGCCATAATTGCAGGATGCCTGAATAGATAGTCTATTCCACACGGTAATGCGATTAGGATGTCTGAGGAGGCAGTCCGTTCTGTATGGTGATACGATAAGGTTAATGAGCTATACTTATAGGATGCCTGAGGAGGTAGTCCGTTCTTCATGGTGATGTGATGAGGATGTCTATGGAGACTATCCATTCCGAATGGTGATGCTATGAGGCTAATGAGCTATACCTGTAGGATACCCGAGGAGGTAGTCCGTTCCGCACAGTGATGTGATGAGGCTAGTGGGCCGTATTTACTTAGTATGCCTGAATAGGTAGTCCGTTCCGCATAATGACGTGATGATATTATAGAACTTTGCAAGAGATAGTACTGTGAAACCTAGGACAACTTGAGTTTTATGCGGGAGGTCGTTTATTTACATAGTTCACCGTTGAGTTCTTTTGTGATGGGGTTTATGTTATTGTGGATTTCACAAGATTATGTACTGATATTCGGATTGACTACCCAATTGTAGCATGAAATGTTGGGTTGACATATATGACTTAGTTTGGTTGACATTTTAGTATTGCATTTCTTTATTCCTTTATTTTTAGTTTGTGAGTTGATATTTAGCGATTTACAATTTGAGACATATGGTATATACATGAGATTTTCCTTGTTTGGATTATTTCGCTCGATGTACTAGTCTCGTATTGGGGAATTGTAAGTAGTAACCCCATCTAGTTCAGGGTAAATGATTTAGGTAGACTATGCATATATAGGTAAAGCCTCCATCATATGTAGCAACCCTTTCCCCTGGGGGCGGATGGAGAAGATCTTGCTAGCGCTCTGACGCTGTTGTTTCCCCTTCTTGTTGGAGTCTTTTGATTTCAACTCCTCTATTGAGGAGCATCTCTAGTCTATGCGATGGTGGCACAAATATGGAGAAGAAGAAGAAGAAGAAGAAGAAGAAGAAGAAGAAGATGGTAGAAACGGTAAGAATAGATGGAGATGGCTACTATTTGTAGGCTCTTTTAAATCCTAACTCTCAAGAAAATTACATCTTTTGAGATTTGATTGGACTGGACAAAGAGGCTGAAACTTAGCCTAAAACATGGTCAAATCCATAACAGATCTCATTAGATCTTCAATCAAGAGATCTCAGCCATAAATCACGGTGCAAATCTATATGTCAATCTCAACAAACTTTACCAACCAGCAAATGTCGCCAGACGACGAACTTCGTCAGCTAGTGAATGTTGCTAATCGACGAACTTTGCCAGCAGCCCAAAATTGAGAAGCCCTCGCTCACACTCAAATCAGTCAAACTTCGCTGATTTCCTCAACATCGCCTCAACAACAAGAAAGGTGAATTTAATTCCAAGCATATATTTGGACGAGCACAAGCATCATCAATCCTTCGATACAAGTCTGCAACAGAGAAAGCTACATTCAACACTACACCTCTGGCAAACAAGTAGGTGGATGAAGTTAGGTTTTCACCTAATCAAGACAACTCAAGTCACGTTCTGGCAAACAAGTAGGTGGATGAAGTTAGGTTTTCACCTAATCAAGATAACTCAAGTCATGTTCAACACTACACCTCTAGAAATTTACCCAAAGTATTATAAATCCTAGCTACAAATTGAGATGCAAGATATTGAAAACTTTAGAGGAGTCTTGTACACAGTCAAATTGTATTTTTACTTAGGACAATGACCAGCTTAGATCCAAGAAGTGAATGCCCATGGGTTAAACACTTCAAATGCGCCCAAAGTCAAGCTCACAATAAGCTGCAACAAAGGTCACCTTATGACTGAAGCGAGCCGCACTAAGCAACCAACATCAACTCAATTCGACGAAGTCAGACACGAGCCGATCCCCGCAATATGCCTCAGATCAATTCGAAGGGCATCATCAATTGATCAAATCATGAGTCAAATTTTACATTAAATTTAAACTCACAGGCAAAGTTCGCCAACTAACAAACTCCACCCACGTGGACCAAGTCATCCAATTCTGAAGAAGGCACACCCACATTCGAAGCGACCTTCACCCACATCTTTATAGTGAGCTTTGCCAAGTCCACAAAGTCCGCCTAAATAGCTATTTCAGAGCTATTTTTGGTGGATAATCATTCCCCACTAACTCCTACTTTGATGGCTAGTTAATCCACAATTAAGGGAATCATTAACTCTCCCTTTTAGCCTATAAAAGGAGAGAAGATCATTCATTTTAAAAGGACTGGTTTCGAATATTAGAATTTTGACTGAATTCTGGCTAGAGAGAAGTTCGGCAGAAGAGTCGTCACACACATCGCACTTGTGATCTTATTGGAAGACATCGCTAAGAGAAGACTGAGCTAGCTTCTAAGCAATTTATTTCTCATTGAAAGCAAAAGACCCATTGTCTTGTCCGGTGCGTCAATGGAGTACAAGATCAACACTCCACCAGCACACAGAAAAGAACCCTAGGAAAAGAATAAAATTTTCTTCGTTTTATTGTAATTCTTTCTATTGTGATATGTGGTAGTTACCAATACTAAAAGAACCGAAAACAATGATGTTACTAAGATTATATTTAGGACAAGATATGGGCATTTTGTAATTATGGTTATGTCTTTCGGATTAACCAATGTGCCAGCTACCTTCATGGATCTAATGCATAGTGTTTAAACTATATTTAGACCAATTTGTTGTTATTTTTATTGATAACATTCTGGTTTACTTTAAATTGGCAAAAGAACATAAACAACATTTACATCAAGTACTACAAACTCTTTGTGCTCATAAGTTATTCACTAACTTTAGTAAATATGAATTTTGGTTGCCCCAAGTATCATTGCTTAGACACATAAATTTCTGTTAAAGAAATTAGTGTGCATCAGTCAAAGGTAGAACTCGTGATTTCTTAGAAGCAACTCAAGAATGTGACAAAAGTATGAAGGTTTCTAGGAGTGGCAGGATATTATAGGCGTTTTATCAAGGATTTCTCAAAGATGACTACACCACTA